CTAGTAGTGACTTCTCTAACACAAATCTAGACCAACCTCTTAATTGGTTCAAACACTTTTCAGTTCTAACAACAAGTGGTTTTTTTCTATTTACTCAGCCAACAATTCAAACAATTAATTTTTTAAAGCCTTTTTTTAAAGATTTTTATCTGAGTTCAATTATTTAGCCAGAAACAGACAATAAACCAGCTCTTAAAAATAACTTTGATCTTTTACTTTATACAATAGTTCTTTAAAAACCTAAATTCATTATGAATCTTATTCGAAACCAAAATCCTCAAGTTACTAAACCTATAGATATTCTTTTCAAAATTATTCTTGAAACTCTTAAAAGATCTCTTGTAGCAATTACTACTGTTCTTTTTGAACACTTCAACTATTCAAAATATTTAACTCTTATCTTTTTATTCCTCCTTACTCTATCAAAAAAACAATTTTAAATTATTATTAACTTGGCAGATTTTATCTTTTTCTTACTATTCGATATCAAACTATTAACCATCAAAAATTTTTTCAAGATTTAAAACTTAAGAGGTGATTTGCTATTAAAGAGTATCCTTTAAACTATTCACTTAAGTGGACAAATTTGCCTGCTTAAATAATTTGATGAAAATAAAGCATTAAAAAAAATTTTTTTTATAAAAATTTCAATTCTAATTAGCTATAGTGACTCCTAAAAGCTTAAGCCACATGCTACATTTAATAGCCATAGTATAATATACTCAAAATGATCTAAACAAAGGCATAAATTCACATGAAGGGTATAAAATATACCATTTTAACCAAGCTTTTGAGTCACCTTATCTCTCTTGCATTATTTCAAAAAACCAATTCTGTAAAGTTGGTCATAAAGAATCTTTGGCCAACTTTAATGCTATATTATAAAAGGTACCTCTGCGTGATAATCATAAAGATCTTTCATAATTGTCATATGCAAGTATCATTTTTATTATTAAATTTGATCATCAAGATCATATGAAAATTATATGATAATCAACTATACTTAGATAATTTTGGAATGTAGTTGAAGAAATTTCACAAAATAACAATCATATGACAACTAGCATGTAGTGTTCTTTTATTCTAGTCAAGAGTTTATGGGGTGCGGCTCAAAAATTTGAGTTATGGAAAGTTTTTTAAAAAATACATGATTTTTATATTATACCTGATTTATCTAATTCTGTAATCTAATTGGTTAATTAATATCAATTAGTGAAAATTTGTTAATATTTTACAGAAACTAGCTAAAAATTTTCAATAGGTTTAAGATGATCTTAAAGATATTGATTCTATAAATTTATGCTTATTAGATTATTTTACTATAAAAAAATATATAAATTTTAGGGAGAATTTAGATACAGCCACGGCTATATGTAGCCTATACTATATATAATATATATTAACTTATATATTTACCATACTGTACTGCCTTTAGTATCTGGTGTAACAAATAATGCAGATCAATTTTTTACAATATTATTTATGTGTGATATGTGATGTAAACAATTGTATAATACATGTGATTTTTAATTTTTCACTATTAAAAAATTATGTTACACTGGGTACTAAAGGCAGTGCAGTACAGAATTTCTTATATACTAACTAATTAATATGCTAATAACTTTATAGCTTGCTAGCTAACTTGTTAATACTAATCTACTAATTAACTTTCTAACCATAAACTTAACTTTATTCTCATACTAACTTGCTTACTACTATATAATTTACTAAAACTAACTTGTTACTATGTAACTCATATATACTAACTTGTTAATTACTATATACTAACTTGCTAATTACAACCTGTTATATAACTATAACTAACTTGCCCAATTACAGTACAATCTACTAATTAACTTACTCAATTACTATATGATCTACTAATTAACTTACTAACTATAAACCTAACCCTAACCTCATATTAATTTGCTAATTACTATATAACTACTATATACAAACCTGCTAAATATTATAATCTGCTATATACAAACTTACTAATTACAACCCACTACATACAAACTTGCTAATTACAACCTACTATATACAAACTATATAATCGCTATATACTAACCTGTCTAATTAATATAACTCTTTATATGCTAACTTGCTACCTTACTAATTACTATAAAATTTACTAACTAATTAACTTATCTTACTAATTAACTCTAATCCAAACTTAACCCAAATCTTAATTTACTAACTTGCTACTTAACTTTCTAACCTTAATCCAAATCTTAATCTACTCAATCTTAATATATTAAATCTAGCTTGCTACTATATAATCTACTAAAAATAATATAGTAATTAACTTTTTAATGCTAAATCTGGCTCTAATCTATTAAACTACTAATCTACTAACTACTAACCAACTGTTGAACCTAATTTATATAAAGTATAATATTAATTAGAACTTGATATTACTTTTGTTTTTTATCCGTATATATGTTACAAGTCTAGTTGGTTTTTAGGTCAAGTTAAACTTGACCCAGGTCAAATTAATAAAGTAAAAATCCAGCTGACATTAACATAATTCTGGCTTACACTAACTCTAAAATTCTACTAGAAGTCATTTTAGCCAGGTCAAGTTTACTTAACCTAAAAACCAACTTATAATACAACTAATTAGCTAAGCAAACTTTTAATAAATCAATTGTTAGTAAACAGTACTTTATACAAGATTCTAATATATTATGCAGCAGCAGTTTACACAATAGTTATCAAACATTAAAAGCAACAAATAATTCAATTTAAGCATATATATTAACAATCATAAACAAAATACTAAAAAGAATAAGGAATTTGATTTTTTTCATACTATTTTTTATAGCTAGCTTTATTATGACCAAGTTTGTGACATTGTTGACATTCTGTTAGCTTTTACTCTATAGTTTTCTGCACTATATTTTTTTGTTTTATTTCTTGTGACCCTTTAAACCGTATTTTAAATGGTACACCTTTTTTCACACAAATTGTAGGATTCTGAATTAATGATAGATCTATATTTTCTTACAAATATGACTTTTTATCATCATAATTTGAGTCAGAAGAATCAGAATCATCAGATCTACTATCATAGTCTTGTATATTATAAGACGTAGCTGACAATATTTTTCTAAAACTCTTTTGAAGTAATTCTTGATTAGGTCTTGGTACATGTTTAGTTATAAAATCTTTCATAAAATCATTTAATTCTTGTAGTACAAATGGTCCTGCATCCAGTTCTATTTGAATTGCCTTTTTGGAAAACCCATTAGCTACTATATATTCTTTTCGCTGATTTAAAGTTTTGTAAATACATTTATAAGAAATACAAATATTATAAGGCATTTCTATATAAGTTTCAGTATTTAAAACAGCTTTAGGAGAGTTATAAAATCCATCAGTAAATGCCTATTAATGAAAAATTGATATATTCTCAAGTTGTTTTCATCTTTATACCAACATTTTGATATAAGTATTACATGAAATTTTGTATTTACAGAGTTCTCTAATAAGCGAAAAAAATATCGGCATACAAAGCCATATTAAACCAGACCAAGGCAAATACAAAGATGGGATTGATCATTAAAAAGAACAAGATAATTTTTTTTAGTATATCTATGCCGGACAAGTTCCCAAATCTCAACAACGTCATCAAACTGATTTATAGGAATGAGTTCTTTTAAAAGTATTAATGGAGCATTGATGGTATCTTTTGCAAAACTATTATTAAATGATTCAATATCATTCTCAATTTCAAAAGCATGATCCTTATCGACTAACAGAGAAGAATATCTATTGTATATTATTTTCAAATTTATTTTAGTTTAAATCAGTAATTATACATATATAAATAGAAATTAAGCAGATTTATTAGATAAATCTATCTGATTTCTATTGATAATAGTTTATTACATATAACACATAAACTACTATTAATAGAAATCAGATAGATTTATCTAATAAATCTGCCTAATCCTCTTAATAGTAGTCTATGTATTAATATCAAATTTATAAACATCTTATACTAGATAGCCTGTGCTATTTCTTGTCTCTGCATTGAAAGAGTGGCAGGTGTTAGATACTCAGTAATACATTTGTCAATTATAGATGAAAAATCATGACTTGAATATACAAGAGTTGAACCAGTTATAGAATATGCCCAATTTTGATATTGAATTGTAGTAAATACATGATTAAATTGTATATCAAGTTTTTTTAACAAGCTCTAAAGTAGAGGTATGACTATTAATTGTACTCTTAATTATTGCATTTTGACCTTCTACTCTTTGAGTTGTTTGGGCCTCTGCAGTAAAAATACGTGAAATATAAGAAAGTACATATTGCTCTTTTTGTGATTCAAGTACCCTATTAAGATATGGTACTGCACTAGGGTGCTTTTCAAAAAGAGAATCCCAAAGCTGGTCAAATTCAGACTGAGACAAAGTATTTCAGATTTTATACCAGGCTTTAAAAAAATCATCATACATTACACCCAATTTAGATTTCAAATTTTTTAATAAATTCTGTTCAATATGATATAGACAGTGCATATGATATGTGTTTGGCATTACATTTTTAATTGCAGCATCAATGGCTAGATCATTGTCTATTATAATAACTAAGAGATAGGTGTTTGTTGCATAGACAAAAAAGCAAAATACCTATTCAAAACTCTCTAATATTTTATTATTCATTAATGTTTGTCCAACTAAAGGTGATGGTTATTGTTATCAATAATTACTAAAAGTCCAAGCAACATCTTAAACCTATTAGTAGAATATGTATTGTCATATTGTACAATATCACTATATTTAACATAAAGATCATATTGATCTGGAGTCATCCAAAATAAAGATGCTAAAGAACTAGTTGTAGAATCTACACACCAATTTATAATCTACCTTATGTCCTCATTTTTACATTCATAAAGATAATTAATCAATATTGTAGCTTCATCATCAACTTATTGTTCTGCTTTTATCTTTTGAATTGTGTTTGACAAATCTTGTGATAAAAAAAAATATTATCATTTTTTGCTTCAAGCAATTGATGTTGGGTATGCATACATATTAAGATTCCTTTTAGTAGTCCAGAATTCTATATTGGCCAATATTGGCTCAGTCAGCGTTTAGTACATAATATCAGGCCTACCGAATAATTGATTGCAATTAAATTTTATTATATGCGTAAAAAATTACAATCAATTAAAATAATCATAA